AAAAACGATATCCTTCAACTTCAACGTCCTAGAAACCCGAGATGCTAGCGTTTGATAGAAAAATTCTACAAAAAAGTAAAAATCCAGGTATGAAGTAGAACTTAATTTTAATTAAATAAGATACATATGTGTATATATATAAATATATATATATATATATATTATTTTTTAGTTGGGTCAATCATTTGATGTAATTAACTTATGAGACACAATATATTTGACGTATATAGACTCATATGCAGCGCAAATTTTTATTTTTTTAATGGGTATACTTGAAAATACGCCGAGGTTAGTATTTTATAAATAAATAGGGTACATAGGGTATAATTTCATTCATTAGACCCAACTTTCAAATTATAAAAAAGTATAATTTCATTATAAATTTTATAAAATTTTGATTAATAACATTAAATGTCCCATAATAAAATTAAATTTACTGTTACTATACCTCCAATCATAAATATTTCTAGATCCGCCAATGCATATTCACCCAAAAACGATTTAACTATGTTATAGAGTCGTGTATAATTTGTCATTTATTTCCGATTTATTATTTTAAAAAGTGTTTAACATATACAACATGTTTACGATTAAGATTTAATTTAACTACACGATTGAGATTGTGTATTGTTAATACCGACAATACAGAAACTAATTCAAGTGAGAATACCGAGAAAATTTAAATCCTTGAAGTTTAATTCGAAAGTGATAAAACCCTAAACACGGTAAAGTAAACCGATTAAGAATCGTAATTAACAACAAAACCCTAATTTCTGATTTGAAGCCAAACCCAGATTATGAATTAAAGCTGTCCGGTCATGGGTTTGGGTTTCTCGACATCAAAATATTATTTGGGCCCAAATCTGCTTTAACCGGTTCGTTTGATTTGGGTTATACATAAGAACCCGGTTTGCATCGACCCTACAAAGATGTGTTCATATAATTATATTTAGTATTAAAATAAAATCGAATTTGTGAACATTTGGTATAAACCCGGTAATGGCTGTACCCGAGACCCTCTGATTACCTCAGAGGTTTCCCGTGGACTGCGACTAAACTATTCCATGGAAATACTAACTTTGAATGTAATAAAATATCAAACCAACTTATCTATATGAATATGATATTTTAATATATATATATATAACAATCTCTAAACCAAAAACCAAAAAAAAAAAAAAAAAAAATCTCTAAACGAATGGCGGCATATTGTGCTACTTCACCACTGGATGACGTCAATGCATGTTTACAGTGGATGATAGCTCCTGGTTTCGGCCAAGATCACGGGCAACTGAGACTAGCAAAGTTCTGCACACAGGTTGTAGTCTACGAGTTATAGAGGGAAAGGAACAATCGGATCTTTCGGCAAAAAACGCAATCTGCAGAAGAAACCCGCAGGAAAGTTGACTGCACAATGCGAGATACATTTTTCGCCTTGAAGATAGAAGGTCGGAGTAACCCCGACAATGCACTGCTTGAAAATTGGTACCATTTAATGGCGCATGACAAATGATTAGTTATTATTTGGTTGATTTTGTAATTGCCGCTATCACATGAGAATTAAACTTGTCGAGGAGTATTTTTTGTATACTATCAATATCGATTTTTTTGTAATTTTTTCCGGATAGATAATACGAAGCACCTTAAACCAAAAAAAAATCTCTAAACCAAATCAAAATCCAAATAGCAAAATCAAACTGAACCGAATCAAACCAAATCAAATTTATAAATAGATTACAGTCTTATACTAAATAACTAAATTAAATATAATAATAAATATTTCGAAATATATATTTTCCGGATTTGATAAGATCTCCATTATACGATATATCTCGTAATATTCTTCAATATCTGATATATCTCTACATCCCTTCAAGTTGGAGTGTCGAGATTACGAAACATCAAATTTGCAGAAAAGATGATCAAACGCATAACGGTTGAACCACATCGCGTTGGAACTTATATCAATAGAAGACATAACTGAAAAAACAAACTAACGTCTGTGCTACAAATTTGGCAACATGAATAAAGGAATCGTTCGATGATAACAAAAAAGACGATAATTGCGGTGCGAAAAAAAAGTATTGGAAATAACTCTGATTCATCCAATATTGAAAGACAACTACGCGAAAGCGTTTAGTGACAACAATTTTTTGCAAGAGTAAGATGATTTGCTGTTATATAAATAATCTTTTGAAACATGTGGGATTATGAGAGAAAATTAAAAAAGAAAAACAAAATGACTCTTTTATTCTTAATAAAAAAAATTTAAAACGATATTACCACTGGATTCGATATATCATCTTTGTCTTCATCTTCACTCTCATTGGCAACCACCATTTTTTATGAAAAGACCAATAAACTAGAAAAAACCAGAAGCTCTGATACCATATAGAAATATAGGAAATTATATATTTTATTGATAATTAAAATAACATATTAAATAGATGAGAGTCTTATATTAAATAAGTAAATTAAATATAATAATAAATATCTCTAAATATATATTTTCTGGATATGATAAAATCTCCATTATACGATATATCTCGTAATATTCTTTAAAATTCGGTATATCTCAACAAAACCGACATAATATATAGTGACTGATTGCAATTAGTATTCAACTCGGACAAGATCCAACAAGTTTGGAGTGTCCGGCAAAGGCGGCAACTTCGACTGAGCAAGCATGAACCCAAAAGACTTCTCAAAGCACTTGAGAGAACAAAAGTACCAAGCGGTCGAATATGAGATAAACTGCACTGCCACTGAAGGGCCCTCGCATCGAAGTTCACAATGAAGACAGCGTGGTCGGGAAATGAAATTATTGGTAACCATTACTGCATCGCTGAAACTATTCATAACGATCACCTCGCTGGTCTTCACACAATCGAAATCCCCTAACACGCAGCCTGCATGGAGAGTGGAGCAACACTCTTCGCACGTGTAGAAAGGCTTATTCGGATTTAGTTATTTTTCGCACAGTTCGCACCAATACTTGTTGCTTGTCGTAGATTCGCCAAGGCACAGGCAGAGGAAATGCCTGTCGACCTTGTGCTTTACCTTGTTAGGTAAAGTGGCACAGTCAAACCCTAGAGCAAAGTCGCACTCGATGCAATTCAGCACGAAAGGCGACACCTTTTTGCAAGCCCCACAAGCTTTAGCTTCCAATGAAGTGAGGAATAAATGGTGGGGGTGGCTTTCTGGACAAATCGCTCGCATAACCACATCGTACATCTATCTCGACATCGCAGCATTTGTACTTGAACCCATTGCAAAGCCTGTTGCAAGCAGTGCAGAAGAATAAGTTTGTCTCGAGATCTTTCCCTGGTCTCCTTTTCGCGTACAGAGTGAGTGGATCACTAAAAGAAAAACTGTAATTTGCGACAGAAAAATCTGTCGCAACATGAAGAAGAATCTGTCGGTAAAAAAAAATTGCGACCGATTACGACCGATGGATGTCGGTCGCTAAATCGTTATCGCAAAATCTGTGTGGTCGTGATTCTGTCGCAACTTTGCGACCGACAGATCTGTAGGTAGTCGGTCGCCAATATACGACAGATGGCTATATGTCGGTAATCTGTCGCAAATTGGTGAATTCAGATCTGTCGCACATTGCGACAGAAATAAGAGTAGGTATTCGGTCGCTACGTAACGACAAATTTCATCAGTCGCACTCTGTCGCAAAATAACGACCAAATATAGCGGTAGGTATTCGGTCGCAACTGTCCGACTAAATTCATTGGTCGCACTCTGTCGCAAATGTAAATTTTTTAAAACAAATATTAATAAATAATAATTATTTAAATTAAATTAAATTTTAAAAAATAATTTTAAAAATATAAAATAAAAAATATTTATTTAAAATTAAAAAGTATTTATTAAATAAAAAGTAAGAGTCAGAAATGGGTTGAACGACATCTCTTGTGCCGTTGGTGGGTCGTCTCGAGGAGAAAATAGCCGGCGAAAAGCGTCTCGTAACGCGCAATCCGTGCCTCAGCTTCTTCAAGTCTAGCAATCTTCCTGTGATCGTCCTCGAACTCTTGAATCTTTTTCTTCAACAGCTCGACCTCCTTAGTGAGTGAGACGTGGTGACCGATCGATGTTGCATCCGGATGACCACCACCCAACTGAGTCGCCATTGCACCGACGCCGTATATACGTCCTTTGGCATCGGGTTGGACAACCTACAAAATCAAAAGTATACGTCAATTAAATTAATTTAATAAAAAAATAAAAAAAATATAAACTTACCTCTAGATAGAGGCTGTTGATTTCTGCTGGAGAAAGTTGGGTCGATCCACAACTCTCCTCTAATTGGGAGAGAAAATCGGTGATCTTTGCCTGAATCGCATCCTCGATTTCCTGAACCCGATCGCTGATATAAGTACCGTCAGCTCGACGGTGAGTCTCCTGCAGCAATCGCAACGCAGAAAGTTCTTCACCTTCCTTCTGCATCTGCACCCAAAAAATTTAATTAAAAAAATTCACAAAAATTTTAAAATAAATATTTATTTACTTACTATCTGGCGACTCGAGCAAATGATCTCCGTCCTGCAGTGTGGGTCGGGGGTGCGCGTTCGACCTCCGCTCGGGATCGTCGATTGCTTGAGAATGTTTGACTCTTCTGCGTTCCTTCTTGTGAATCCCAATATTCAACTAGCTGATCGTAGATCGCCGTCGACATCCATGCAGGTCGTACGCGTCTGCTCTTTACCCGATAAATGTTGTCCTTGAGGCGATCTCGGACGGCGAGCCTCCAAGCGGCGTAGACTCGGTCATGAACAGACTCGTCCCAATAATAAGCTTGCTATAAAAAAAATAAATTTATAATTTTGTATACATATAAAATTGAACTAAGTGCCAAAATTCTTACCGCAAAAGCCTCAAATCAACGCTGCAGATCAGATGGAGGGACACGGGTGAGACTCCGCCACGGACCTTTGAAGTCCGACTGTAAGATGCTGACGACGGATGAAATCACGTCGTTATTACGATCAAACCTGTAAAAATCGAATTCGTAAAATTAATTTAAAAGAAATTAAAATAAATATATATTATATACATAAAAATACCTACCAAATAGAACCGGGGGAACGATCCGGATCTAGACGAGGTCGGAGACGACGTTCTGCAGACGCTAGAATCTCCTGCAACGATGGCGATGGCGATGCACCATGACTAGATGCACCTTCATTCACGGATTGGGGGAAAGCCGCACCCGTGAAAGGTACATCAAGTCGAGGAGGATCGACTACCACCTGATCCCGATGGACAGATGGTGATCTAGATGATCCGATACCACGTCCTCGGGATCGTACTCCGCTACCGCTACGACCACTAGAATG